GGGGCGAGGCGGGGCGAGGCGGGGCTCTGGCTAGGCGGGTCTCCAGCCGGCACGGCGCTGCTGGCGTGCGGGGCTCCTCCCCTTTCCCCCGGCGGCGGCGCCGGCGGCAGCAGCACTTCCGGGTCGGCGCGGAGGCGGGGCGGAGGCGCCGCGGCTGCTGTTATTGTTCAGCTGGGCTCCGCTGGGCGCTGTCTCACTTGGCTCAGAGGGTGTCAATTTGCCCCGCTTCCTCTCGGCCCCTCACTCCCGGCGGCTGACGACGACGGCGGCGGCTGCGGCGGGCGGAGCCTGGCGTTTCGAGGCCGAGCGGCGCCGGGGTGAGGGGCGCGGAGGAGGAGGAGCAGAAGCAGGAGGAGGAGCCGCGTGCCCTGGCACCGAGCGGCCGCGGCCATGGCGTACGCCTATCTCTTCAAGTACATTATCATCGGCGACACAGGTGAGCCCCGGAGCGCGGCGGGCGGGGGTCGGCGGCCTCCGGGCCGGGGCTGGGGGGCAAACGGCGTCTGGCCGCGGCGCGGGAGCCGCCACCGCCGGGCGCCTCCTCGCCGGCCGCGCCGCTCCATTTCCGCAGTGCTGGAGCTGGTGACGTGGGCACTGCGAGCGGCCGCGGCCTGGCCTGGCCGGCCCGGCCCGCCGCCCCGGCCCCGGCCCTGCAGCTGGGGGCCGCGGCCGCCGTTTCGACGCGCGATCTGGGGAGTATGAGAGGAGGGCCTGCCCAGCCCGGGGCCATCAGAGCCTGGCTCTGAGGATCTCACGCCTTGCCCCGGGCCCCTCGCCTTGGGCCTCTTCGCCGCCCCCGAGAGAGGAAAGCGGGGCCGAGCAGAGCAGACGGTGATGGAAGGAGGGCCTTGGGCTTCCTGACCTCGGCGAGGCCCGGGCAGAGCGCTTGCTGGCGTGGGACAGCCAGCTGAGGACAGACAGAAACCTCTAAAAAATAATAATAGTAGTAACGTAGGTATGTAGTCTTATCACTCAGCTCCCAAGTCAGAGTAAGTCACATCCCGTTACTTGACGCCAGGGGAATCCCTTTCGAGGTCATTAAAGCATGAAAGAGTTCTGTCGACTTCTGCCACGTGTAAACTTGGGGTTCTTTGATAGTAATGCAAGGCGTTCAGCGCTCTTGGTGTGTGCTGGCGTGTGTGTGTGTGTGTGTGTGTGTGTGTGTGTGTGTGTGGGGGACACTTTGTTTTTTTCGATACATCAAATCCAGGCTCACAACTGCCAGTTATCAGGTGGCCTGATGTCCATTCGAAGCAGAAAGAAATACAGTTATTTGCACTGAAGATAACATTCCATTGTATTTCGCAGATAAAGTAGTCAAACTCGTTGAAAATATTTTTAATATCTGTGGTTTTTTGGCATTACTTTGAATCTGATAATAAAACTAAGACTTGTTCAGGTGTTATAACTATTAACATACCGGAGTCTGATTGCAGTGATGACTCTTGCACAACTTTGGACCCTTTGCACAACTTTGGACCCTTTGCACAACTTTGGAAATGTAAGCAGCAGCTTGTGGTTGCACTAGTGATATGGCAGATTGAATAAGTAGCACAAGAAGCATGTTGATTGCTGCCTAAAAGAAAAACTTTCTGCTGTAAACATAGTCTTTCAGCAAGGATTTTTGGTGTGCGTGTGGAAACGGGATAGCTTTCTGCGAAAAATCCTGGATAAAGCAATGTTTTGCACATGTTCGTAACGCGTCTATATGCTTTTTTAAATGCCGTGGCATACTTGAAGGAAGTGGGGTTCTAAAGCCTACTGGCACATTTTGATTGAGGCTGTAACACTGAGATTGGAAGAGGGAGTTCACGTTAACTGCTATTTGAGTGGATTTGAGAAGTAGAGAGAAGAGTTACTATGGACGTGAAGTAGTAGTGACGCTTCAAATTAGCCTTCACAGGTTGCCTTCGTTCAGCTTACTTACCAAGCACCTGCTGTGGGTAAAGTATTGTACTGGGAGTAGTGGGGCTACAAATATTCACAAGGCGGTGCTCCCTTCTTCTGGAATTTGCCCTCATGCAAAAACAGTCCCCTGGCGGTTCAAAGGGACGACGTTCTTTCTTGCCATTGCTACTATTACCACCTAGTTACCGCCTAGTTCCGGCACTGAGCACTTGACCCTGGACTGTCCACAGCATTTACTTTAGACTGTCAGACTAACCTTCCCCAAACACAGCTGTTCGGAGGCTGTTCCTCTGTTCACGTTCTTTAGTTTGACCTTCAGGGAACTCCATATTTTAGCCCGTGTTTAACAAAGTCTCTAGCCTTCTTTCCCAGTATTCGCGAGTCTCCACTTTCCTGCTGCCAGTGAGGCCCTGTGCTTTTTCCTGGTCTCTGCCACCCTCTCTGCTTGGAGTGCCTTTCTGTCGAAATTCTCTCATTCCTCAAAGTCTCACTTGAGTCTTCTGTAATCTCTCAGAGTCAGTGTTTATTAAGTTCTTTTGATGTGTCAGGCCTTCCTGGTATCCTGGCTGGAAGTGACCGCCACTCCTTATCTGGATGTATCCCACTTTGTATCGTTCTTCTGATATTAATTCCTGACTGTTCTGTAGACACTTGTGTAGGCATTTATGATTGATTATCTACCTCTTGAGGGCAGAAAAGGTGTTTCGTGTGGTTTTGTATTCCAGGGGGAGCCTGTAGAAGATGGTAGGCTCCATATGTTTAGTTAACTTGAAAGAACAGCCAAACAGGCCATAATGTTCCTACTAATATACATTAATAACTTGACAAAGGAATTTTTTAGTCCAGTTCTGCCACTTTCTTACTACTATCATTAACTTTGGCCAAAATCCTTTACTGTGTTTTCTTAATTCAAAGTGTACCCACTTAATGTGGCCCTCCCCACACGCAAAAAAATGATCAGTAATCAGTAGTGGGAAATCCATCCTGATTTTTAAAAAAGTTGTAGTGTGAAAAATATGCATTTTAGAAAGAAGGAAATCACTGTTTTTTTCCTGATTCTCGCTTTCCCTAGCCTGTGAAGCAGTCATTATTAGCCTTCCCTTCTGTCAGTAGAGAGCTAAAATGAGGACAAATGTGGAAGTACCGCACACATTTTCCTTTCCAGAGTTCCCTCTTTCACAGAAGAGACTTTTAAAATGTTTTACATGATCATGATACTGTTGAAATGTTCATTTTCTTACTGCATGGCCAAATGTAGTTAAAATATAGCTTTACAATTTTTCATTGGTAATGTCTTGTTCCTGAAAAATTGTTTAGGAAAATGTGTCATTTAAACCTAGATATAAAGTGGAAATTAGCTTTTAAGAAGCCTGGACTAATATTATAAGCAGATAATTATCAAGTATAGAGGGAGAGAAAAATTGTAGTAAACCTATAATTGTTGCTTCTAAAATTCTGGCGTCTGCCTTCCATTTTAATCTCATCACTAACCCTCCCTCCCCTTTCCTGCCTTTCAGCTAGGTACACAGAAGCACAAACCTTGGTTGTGTTCTCTCTGCAATACCCTTTCTTACTGTGCTCCCCTCCCCAAAGCCCCACTCCCAGCCAAAGTGAAAAGACAGGTTAGGTCAGAACTTTTTCACCTGAGCAGCTCCTATTCGTTCATTCTTTTAAGATGATAACAAACCCCACCCCTCCCTGTCGCCTGGTGCCGGTCGCCTCCACTCTTCCTCCTTCTCTGCTCACCTCCTCCATTTGGTTTGGTAGGCTTGTTTGTTTTTGTTTTTGCTTAAACTCTTTCAGGGACAAGTGCTATATAAGTAAATAAACAAGACAAGCCTGGTCACACATCATATCATCTGAATGCATTTTCTAATTTGAGATATAATTGACATATAGCATTGTATTAGTTTCAGGTACACAGCCTAATGATTTGATAAACGTATGTATTGTGAAATGATTACCACAATAAGTTTAGTTAACATCCATCACCACACATAGTTCGAAAGGTTTTTTTTCTCCTGATGAGACCTTTAAGATATACTCTCTTAACTTTCAGCTCTTCAGTATACTTGTTAACTATACTCATCATGCCATACATTACATCCACAGGCGTTGTTTATCTTATACCTAGAAGTTTGTACCTTTTGACCTTTACTACGTGCATCTTAATTTTTTTGTTTGTTTGGAAAGTTTTTGGCTTTGTCTTAAAAGTAAGGGTAGGCATTCAGTATCAGAAATGTTTAATAGATGAGTGGATGGGCGCTTGGGGGAGATGCTGCAGGGCTTTACCTGGGAGATGATATTTGAGCTGAAATTAGAATGCGTAAGGATTTGCCAGGTGAGCAAAGGGGAAATGTCTAGTAGGTAATTAGAAGTACATGTTTGCAGCTCAATCAATGATGGTTTTAAAAGAGAGTGATATTGGGAAGTTAAAAACAGAGCCATACTGTGGGGCATTTTAGAAAACTTTGAGTGTGAAAGAGAAAGAAAGAGTGAGTTTAGAGTTGGCTGCAGGATCAAGTTGGCTGATGTGTGTGTGTGTGTGTGTATTAGGATAGGGGAAACTTGAGGTTGAAAGTTTGAAAATACTAGAGAGAGGGCAGGAGCAAAATCCTGGAGAACTTGGGGAAGGAATGGCATTTGATTCTCCAGAGCTTTAGGGCTGTAACAGAAAGAAGACCTCTTCCTGTGGGAGACTCAAACTTGAGTTTCTTTAGATTCTTGTGAGTCACCTAGGGTGTTGGTTTCTTTCTTTTTTTGAAGGATTCAGTGGCCCAACCCCCAGCGATTTTGATTCACTAGACCTGAGGTGCAGCTTCTTGTTACAAAATCTGAGGCCAGAAACGCTCGCTAATCATTTTATATAATTATATGAGCAAGTTTGTTAGATTATTTTGGAAAACAAGCAGTAGGAAAACAAACTGGGAAATTGGGAGGTAGAAAAATTCCATTGAAGTTTTTTTTAAATTATGAAATATATCATGCATATAAAAACATATGCATGTTCTATGTTTACACACTTTAAAGAGTAGTATTGAATCAAACACCCATTCCAGAGAAATATGGAGCCTCAGCGTATACCTCTCCGCCAGGCTTCCACTAGCCTGAATTCTGTATTAATCCTTCCCTAGCTTTTCTTCACAGTTGTATCACTTACACATCCCTAAACTATATTGTTTAGTTTTGCCTGTTTTTAGATGTGTTTAGTTGTTTTATTAAGTGAGAGAGCTAAAATGTGCCTGAAACATACATTTTAACATCATCTAGAATTTCCTTGAAGTTTTTGCTTTATGCATGTTGTTTGTAGTCTTTCAGGATTTTTGACTGCCCTTTCTCTTTCTCTTTCTCTCCTAGCCCGTTTATGTCCTGCTTGCTTCCCCTAATATTTATATTGCTCCTGAGACTTCCTAGTGAATTGCGGAGGCCATGGCCCTATTGTTCTCGTTCCTTTTTCCCCTTCTTCTCTCCTGGTGAACCTGCGTCCTCATCTCCAGTCGTGGCCCTCGCTCTTCTAGCTAGTGCTCT